AAATCAAACTCAATTGGATCTCAAATGTTCCCAGATGCCATTAACTTTATGCCATATGATAAGATTCAGAGCAGAATTAGTTTTTAGTCTTAAAATATCATTAATGCATCATGTTGAATATGTTAATCAATAAAATGAATTCTGTAAGTAGGTAGGAAGGTAAATGCATGTTAATGACTTTGAATGTCTTAATTAACTCCCACTGCTAATGATACTGTAATTATGGTTTAAATATACAGTCGAGGATACATATGCTCTCGATTGGGTCATGCTGCTGAGTATCACTGAACTCCAATGAATAAAGGAGGTCCAGCCCCGAATTTTCAAAGTAGTCAAATCTCGATGAGAAAAACAAGCACAACCGAAGTTTCCGGCTTATGCAGCGTCTTTATCCTTCCTCACACACCTGCTTCCTGGCGAGGGGTTCCCTTATCTTCTCTATCGCTTTGTCACTCCGAGCACCAGCTGGCACATGATGGTAATAATCATTTCTGAAAATTCTTGAGCATGTTGTACATTAAGCTCCACAACACAACGGACTCAATCTCCCTGTGCAATTTTATTTTTTTTATTTGTTTTCCTTTGCCTGCTTCTGAGTCCAGGAAGAGAAGTTACAGTGGCCTTGCTGACTCATGGACCCAATACTGACCGAGACAGCAGCCAGAGGTGGGGTGACAGGGTCAAGCTAGAAACTGTCTCCTGGGGTGGGTAGCCAGTGTCTATTAAAGAAAAGAAACTTTGGTACATCTACACAATGGAGTAGTACTATGTAGCTGTTAGAAAAGATGAAATCATGAATTTTACATACAAGTGGTGTATGTCACGGTCATGGTCCTCCTGTTGTTCATCGATTTGCTCGAGAGGGCCCAGTAACGTCTCCATCATGAGACTTGTTGTTACTGTGTTTGGCATATCAAATACGTCACGGATAGCTTGCCAGGCTCTGCTGTGGGGGCGAGATACTCTCGGTAGCTTGCCAGGCTCTCCGAGAGGGGCGGAGGAATTGAACTTGGGTCAGCCATGTTGGCCGCTTGTAAGGCAAGCGCCCTACCGCTGTGCTATCGCTCCAGCCCACATATAAGTGGTACCACATGGAAAGTATCATGCTAAGCGAAATGAGTCAGAAAGAGAGGGATAGACATAGAAAGACTGTATTCATCTGGGGGACATAAAGAAACAAATAGGAGATTAATACCCAAGAATAGCCATGATCAGTACTAGGAGGATTATTCCATGGCTTAGAGGCCAGCTGGGCACTCTAAGGGAAAGGGCAGCTCAGATAGAGAAGGGAGCACCAAATAAAGAGTGTTTGGAGGATCCTCCCAGGAGGGGAGATACATGCTGAAAGTAGACTATGGACCGAACATGATTGCCACTCAATGCCTCTTTTGCAGACCACAACACCCAAAAGGAGAGAGAGAGAACAAGGGGAAATGCCCTGCCACAGAGGCAGGGTGGGATGGGGGGGATGGGGGTGGGAGGGATATTATCCATGGTGGTGAAAAATGGGCACTGGTGGAGGGATGGGTACTTGATCATTGTATAATCGAAACCCATGCACAAAAATTTGTAAATCTACAACTGTACCTCATGGTATTTCACTAACAAAAATTAAAAAAAAAAAAAGAAAAGACTTGGAGGTAAAATCTATTTTCCCTCCTCTTAAATCTGAGTTGGTGCAGAGATCTGCTTTAACAAGAAAATGTGGCAAACAAGAGACCAGGTCACATTCAGGGATGGGCCTGGAAAGATGTACACTTTCCTTCCCAAGCTTCTGCAACACAACCTCTGTATTGCGAGGAGTCCCAGTGGAGAGAGAAGTGAAGCAGCGGCTAAGACCCCACTGTGCTTCCTGTCAGCAGCCACGCGAAGAACAAGCCAAATGAGTTCAACCAGCTGCGTGGCTCCAGGTCAGTCAAATCCACTCCACACCGCACACTCTCTGATGGAACAGGGCCTTGGAAACAGCCTCACCCAAGCCCATGTCTGGGTCCGAGAGAAACCATCTAAAGTCTACTGCGCAGCAAGAGATGATCAAGATCATCTTTAAGACCAAGGGACAAACAAACTCACTCCGACTTGACTCACATTACACAGGAAAACTTGCAACATATCCAGAAATATGAGGGTGGCCATGCTGACAGTTGAGAAAAACTCTCTCCATTAGGGAGCATGGTGACCAAGAGTACGGGCTTCCAGGACAAGTAACTAAGTCTGAATTCTGACTTTGCCTTTTACTATTTACCTGGTCAAAGTTACTAAACATTACCATGCTTCAGTTTCCCTTTGTATGGGGAGGAATTAGACTAGCCCCTGACCTCATGAATGTATTATAAAGACTAAATATTAGTATCGTGCAAGTAAAACATTTAGAGTATGCCTGGCACAGAAGAAGTGTTCAGGAAATGTTCTCAGTAGAATTCTTAATCCATCTATTCTGTTCTACACCAAGGAACCTGACTCTCATGGTCATCAAATGGATCTGCATAGAATAAAGGAGTGGAGGAGGGCGGGGGCGGGGGGAGCAATGTCACACTTGTTCTCCACTTGTATACCTATATATTACATGCTATACCATGAAAAAATGAATCTCTTCCAGGCCATTAAAGGGGTGACTGTGATAGATAGTAAACCTAATTGATTTCACTCCAGCAAGGAAAAAATTCAAAATTCAGAATAAATGTTCAGGATGTGGGCCAGTCACTTAGAAATACCCAAAACACTCAAACTTAATCTGAGACTTAACTATTTCTAAGGTATATGAATCCACATGTTGGGGAGGCTCAGCAGGGAGTTTTCTTTTTGCTAAGAAACTTGAGTTTTATATGGATGTACATGTCCTGAAAAGCCATGTTCTGAATGCTCTGGGTAACCATTATCACACTCATCTTCACTTTGTTTCTGAAAACTATTCTGTAGTTCATGGCAACCAACAAAGAGGTTGTCAGTCAGGATAGTTTGGGCCTATGTCATAAAATCCATCCTAAACACATTAGTAATAATACTGTGTGAGTTGGGAGGATATGATAGCTTTATATTTTGGTTTGGTTTCCTATCAGTTCACACTTTGGGAGCTTATTTATTTAAAAAAATAATTACTGAATGATTTTTTTCATGAGGTCAAAAAATCACCATAGTAATCAATTTTACTCCAGGACTAGAATGCATAAACAGTGTTTTTTTTTTTTTTTGGCCCCAGCCCTTTTTCTCTTGTGTTTTTAAATGATAACAAGAAACTGCTCCTAACTTCAATATTCACTCTCCTGAATGAGTGAATAAATAGAAACTCTAAGTTTTTTCTTAAATACTTAGCATTCAAATTTAGCTCTGAAAGGTCCTAACCACAGAGCTTCTCATGAAATTTTTCGCTAGGCTCCCAAAGCTCTCATTTGTCATCTCCACATATTTCTATTCAGAAGAGCATTGTACACCCAACTATATGACTCATATTCTGTTGGCAGACACGTTTCAACCTGCTTTTCTCAAGACAACTATGACAGATCCTTCAGTTGATGTCCAAGTAGCTCCATCAATTAGAAGTCCTGCGGATATGTGCCAGGCCTGTGTCCATCTCTACACGATCATATTCTCATCCACAGTCGTTAGTCTTCTCTCCCAATTATTTCTAAGCCTTAAGTCAGCTTGAGAAAATTTATATTTCTATCTCAGGCTTGATAATCATGCCTTAAAAGGCAACTCCCAGGGATGTAAATTAATGGCAAACTCCATGAAGGATAAAAAAAATTAAAAGCTACAAAAGTTAAATGATGAATGCAGTAGTAAATCAGCTGATGGGTTTATTCTGCACACACTAACGATTTCACCTGTTTTATATTGCTCAAGGCAAGCTAAATTTAATAGTAGATAAAAAAAAAACCCATGGGGCCAGAGCAATAGTACAATGGGTAGGGTGCTTGCCTTGTACATAGTCAAGCCGGATTTGATCTCTGGTATCCCCTGTGGTCCCCTGAGCTCTGCAGGAAGATTCTGGAGCACAGAGCCAGAGGTTAAACCTGGGCACACTGTTGGGTGTGATCCTCCTCCAAAAAGAAAAAAATAGGAAAAACTAACTTAGAATACTTTCTTGCCCAAACCTTTCAATTCTTTCTCTTCTGCTTCTTTTCATTCTCTCTTTTCTTTTAACCTCCTGCTTTTTACCCTACTCTTATGTGTCTGTCTAACTTCATCCCCACCTCATTCCCAGACTTATCAGTTACATGTCATTTTGCACTGGTTTAAAGAAAGTGCCATGCACAATGCTTTATATGTCAAATTCCACCAGTCTAGTCAAATTCGTGAATCAGTTTCACTATTAAAAATTCAAAACACTACTTTCCCAAGGGCATTTGTCGGTTTTTAGGGGCTGTGCTATCAGGTGATTACATACCAAAAGTTTAATGATAGGGTTTCGGTAGTGTTATTGAGAACAACTTTGGGAAATACTTTGTTATTCACTAAGTAGTTGAACACAGTAACAAATAAATGTAGCTAAAGTTTAACCCTAAAGGAAAACTTCTTATGAAAAAATAAAACCTGACTAGGTTAAAAGATTGTTGAACAATTTCAACCAAAGTTTCCAGACTAGTGAAATTTGGCTTTACTTACATTTACTTTCAGAAACAGACCCAACCCAGGCCTCTAAATTCATAAAATACTGCTAAAACTAACTAACATGTCTAATTAGTAAAAAAAAAAGGCTGCCATTGGATTTTAGACAGTTTACCAAATGATCTTTTCAGAAACAAAGATGGGTATAATTTCATCTATAAATACAAGAATAAAGGAACCCATGGAAATAAAACATCCTCAAACAATGTCAGAGCCTTCTAAAGCACATCACAAATTGCACAACCTGGTTTTTTGTTTTTGTTTTGCTGTGATTTGCCTAACATAGTTTAAAAAATAGTACAGGTACCACTTCTTGGCAGTAACTGAACTACTGTGATCTGGTACGAAATAAAGCTATTCTGAAGGATGGAGGAGGCATTTCAGGAAGTTACCTGGCAAGGCTGTTTCATTTTAATGGCTATGACATGGTAGCGGTAACAGCACAGTTCACAAGTCCAAGAGCCTCTCTCGCTGATCCACTTCAGGAGGCACAGCTGATGTGTATAGCGAACTGACCCGTCACACCGGCAAGGATTCAACAGCTCCCCCTGAACAGAAAACAGCCCAGTATGAATATTAATGTTCGCATCTTGATTGTCCGAAAATCTGACTCCTGCTTCCCTTCCTTTCAAAGACGTTTACCCAGAAGCAGACAATAGCATTCAACTCTTGAGAAAAGGAAATTAATTTTTTATAACTCTGATGGGAATGAAACTAAAGTCTGAAAACTATTTCTAAGATAGTGCTTAGAGTTATGACATAAATGTTCTACCAACATACAAGATGTCTGCAAAGATATAGCTCCCAATGCCCTTGGGGGAAAGCTGGACTATTAAATCTCTTTAATAACTTTTAAGTGGATGGTCAGATGCATTTCCTCTGCAGTTATTCTTAATCATTGCTAAGGAAGAATTGCACTGCGTCCCAGGAAGGAGCCTGCAATAGCATTATGCTTTTATTTTTTTTTCTAAATGTAACATCATAAATATTGACTCGGGCCACTGTATTCCTGAAAGCCTGCATATTCTTATGCAACTTCCTTACTTTTCAAAATATTCAACCTAAATGTTTCCTCAGACCACACATTTTGCGAGACATATTATATTATCTTGCCTTCTCCAGGACTGCCCGCGTGGAACTTTGCATGCGCCTCTCTAATGGACTCTAACCATCTCCGAATCGTGTTTCTAGTAAACACAAAGTACCTTCCAGGCTGGGCAGCCTTCGACAAGGTCAAAAACGTATTTCGTTTCTCCGGTGAACACGGAAAGCCGCTTTTCCCTAGGAAACGGTCCCCCCAATCTGCCCCAATAAGAAGAGATCCTGCCTTTTCAAGCGCTGCTGTAACTCACTCCCAAATTGGTACTCCAAGCAAGTCTACCCTGGGGGTCCGCTTATCCGGGAGGGGGAAGGCTTGCAGAAGCAACCCAAACCCGATTTTGCAATCCACAAAACACGCGCTCAGGACGCCGTCTCTCGAGGACCCGAGGAACGGGTCCGTGCCAAGCCAGGGAAGGGGCTGCAGCGGGGAGGGCGGGGGAAAGCGCCCGAGGAACGACCAGGCGCTCCGGCTCCCGGGACGTCCGCCCGGCCTCCCCAGGGGCTCCCGGGACGCGCGGCGGGCGGGGCGGGCGCTGTCCGTGGTGCTGACGGTCCCGCGGCCTCACCTGCTCGGCGCCCTGGAAGCAGATCTTGCAGATGGGCTGGTGATGCTGGTACCCGGCGCGCCGCTCGCCGCCGCCGCCGCTGCTGCTGCTGCGGCTGCTGCACACGGAGCGCGTCTCGGGCTGCTCGCCCGCGCCCCGCCGCTCGCCCTCGCCCCCGCCCCGGCCACCCTCCGGCCCGGGACCCGGCCCGGAGTCGCCGGCCCCCGGGCGGTCCTGGGCGCCGGACGGAGGCGGCGGGGGCGCGGGCTCGGCGCCCGGCGGCTCGTCCGGCCCCGCGGCGCGCTCGGGGGGCGCGGGGGGGCGCGGGGGCCGGCGGCGGCTCGGGGTCCCGGGGGTCCCCCCCGCGGGGCCGGCTGCCGCCCGGGCCGCCCTCCGAGCTCATGGTGCTGCGGCCGCCGCCCTCCTGGCCGGCGCGGGCACGGGGCGCGGGCGCCGCCGGCGGGGGCGGGGCGGGGGCGCGGGGCCTCCGGGGGGCGGGGGGCGCCGGGAGGGTCGCGGGGCGGCGGCGGCGGCGGCGGCTGCTCCCCGAGCCGTGCGCCCGGCGGCACTGGAGGCGGCCGGGGTTCCGCGGGGAGGGGGCGGAGCGGCGCGGCGGGGGCGGGGGGCGTTCCGGGGAGGGGGCGGGCGCGCACCCCGAGCGGCGGGGGCGGCGCGGACCCGGCGGGACGGGAGCGCCGGGGGTGGGGGAGCGTGGGCAGCGGCGTCCCCGCCCCCGGCCGCGCACGTCGGCTCCGGGGCGCGTCCCCCACCCCCACTCCGGCCCGCTCCCGGGTGCGCGGCGCTGCGGCTCGCGTGAGTGCGGGAGGGCGCGGGGTCCCGGGGCCGTTGGCGGGGGGCGGGTCCCGGCGCGGTGGCCCTACACCCCGCGGGGGGCGCGCGCGAGGCAGCAGCCGCGGGGCGCGCGGGGAAGGGCGCCGACCGTGGGCAGCGTACCGGCCCGCATTGCTGTCCACCCGGCGCTCTCCTCCCAGCCTCCTCCCTCAAGGGCACCCGCTCTCCTCCCGATCCCCCCACCCACACACACACACCAGGTCTCAAAGCGGGAGTCTTTGCACCCCGGGGTCCTCCCAGGGTCCGACTTTGACTCCGGGGTCCTCCCCGCGCCCTCCGCAGCCCTCCCCGCCTGCAGTGAGTGGCCGGTGGCTTTGCAAATTCTGAGTCTCCTTCTAAGTCTCCCGGAGTAGTTCCCGGCGCGGAACCGAGCATCTCGTTTCATCCTTGCTCAGCCCCGACTTCTTGGTCCATGAGCGGAAGAGGAGCGGCTAGTTCGCCCCTGGGGTTTGCGCGCCCCCCTCATCCTCCATCCCAGTCATTGATTTTCTCAGCTTGGGGGAAACCTTGGGGGGACTTATCTTCAGGCTGGGCCACAGTCCCTCGATTATTTTGTTTTGTCCCATTTTGGGGTTTTTTTTTTGGAAATAAACTAGGTGCAAAATCGTGGAAGTGCACTCATTTGCAAATCCGTGGAGCATCCTGAAGCGCTGGGTGGAGATACTGCAATGTGTCTTTCCGAAGCAGTGATTTTTTTTTCCTTCTTGTGTGACAATTAAACATCTTCCGAACTACTTGCCTCGCACTTGGGGCCCGGATTCTTGGCTGCCCTTCGTAGTCGTGCACCCAGGATCAGAGGGACAAAGTTACCGGTTCAAGGTCACAGGACTATGAACAAAGAACTTTGGAGCTCCGGACTCCAGGCAGGTTTTCTAGCTGAAAGAGCGGATGGTTTTTTTTTCCTCCCTACGCCTCTCTGCTGCCTCCTTTAATAGATGATGATCTGAAAGCGCTGAGATAAACTACCAGTTTCAATTTCCCATTAGGAATTTTGATGTTGAGAGTTATATCTGATTGTTTATTTGAGAAAGAAAAGCCCCAGCTCTTTGGGCAGAGGTGACTTTGGTTAGAAAAGCAGAGAAAAAAGGTAATTTTAAAAAAGGGAAAAAAATTAAGAGTGCACAGCCACAAGGCTCCTACGTGGAATACTTCCCCCCAATCTCTTCTAGTACCTAGTCCCCAGCTTGTTTAGGGCAGTGGAGTGGCAGACAGCAGGTTCATTTTTGGAACAGTCCTCCCTGACATTGGAGAAATGTGATTGGAGACAGGCTTTCCTTTTCAGTCATCATCACCCATCAGATGACATTGCACAAGTTTGTATATTGTCCTGGTCGTAAGGCAATCATAAGCTTTCATCCTGAAAGTTATAAAAATGAATAAATAAAAATTACATAATCAGGTTTATGGCCAGCAAATTCTTAGCAGGTGTGATAAAGCAGAGTTCCTATTTGAAGGACAGAAGGAAAGCTGTGTTCCATATAAACAATGCAGAATGACTCAGGGGCAAAGTCAGGTGGATGAAGCAGCCACCGTTCTTCCAGCTGATTCTGCCTGAAAAATAAACTGCGGGAGGAGAAAATTCACATTTCTTGATACGGTGAGTAGCCACATAAAAACATTCTCCAACTTCTGTGACCAACAAAGCCGTCCTGTCCGTCATCGTCAGTTAATTCTATAAGTCTTCATGGGGCATCAAAAAGCACATTTGTGAGCTCCCATTTGATCCAGCAATAGCACTCCTGGGAATATATCCCAGAGAGGCAAAAAAGTATAGTCGGAGTGACATCTACACTTGTTTGTTCATTGCCGCACTGTTTACAAAGAGCCAGAATCTGGAAAAAAATAAAAACCTGAGTGCCCAAGAACAGATGACTGGTTAAAGAAACTTTGGTACATCTACACAATGGAGTACTATGTAGCTGTTAGAAAAGATGAAGTCATGAAATTTACATGCAAGTGGTACTATAGGGAAAGTATCATGCTAAGCGAAATGAGTCAGAAAGAGAAGGACAGACATAGGAAGATTGCATTTATCTGGGGAACATAAAGAAACAAAATAGGAGACTAATACCCAAGAATAGCCGAGATAAGTACCAGGAGGTTACTCCATGGCTTGGAGGCCAGCCACACACGCTAGGGGGGAAAGGCAGCTCAGATAGAGAAGGGAGCACCAAATAAAAGGTGTTGGGAGGATCCTCCCAGGATGGAGATGCATGTTGAAAGTAGACTATAGACTGAACATGGTTGCCACTCAGTGCCTCTTTTGCAGACCACAACACCCAAAAGGAGAGAGAGAACAAAAGGGAATGCCCTGCCACAGAGGGGGGTGGGAGGGATACTAGGGTCAGTGGTGGTGGAGAATGGGCCCTGGTGGAGGGATGGGTACTCGATCATTGTATAACTGAAACCCAAGCACAAAAATTTTAAAGTCTACAACTGTACCTCATGGTGTTTCATTAATAAAATTTTTTTTTTAAAAAAGGATCTTTAAATATGTCAAGTGGGAACCACATTTTACCAAATAACAGTTGCTCTTGGGCAAAACATTCTGTTAATTTGAAATTTAAATTTGAAATAAATAAAAAATACATATTTTTAAAAAAAGCACATTTGTCATCTTGATTGTACCTTCTGCTGTAAAAGTAGAGAGCAGGGGTGAGGTGAGGGGACAAGGAATGAACCACTAAGCCAAAGAGATGATAAGAGACCCAGGCAATGGCGAAAGAGCACCTGCAGGGCAGCCTTGGAGACGGAGTCATCCGGTTGCTGCCAGGCGTTACCCAAGGTACGGAAGAAGAGGATGGTGCAGCAGGTGAGGCATGTGCCTTGCACACATCCAACCTGGGTTTGACCCTTGGCATCACATAGGGCCCCTTGAGCCCTGCCAGGACTGAGTGCAGAGCAAGGAGTAAGCCAGGAGGGCTGTTGGGTGTGACTCCCACCCCTCAAAAAAAAAAAAAGGAACAAGGGCTAGAGTAAATTGTTCATTTGGGCAAAGGCTGATCCAACCTGCTTCCACCTACACAAATGAGAAAGACGTCAATAATAAACGGGTGCTTGAAAAGTCTCCTTTCCTGTGTCCCCCTCTCTCTGCCCCTGTCCCACCTTGCCTGGCCACACACAGCAAAATGTCCCCTTTTCTGAAAAAGGTCTTTCATTATTTTTTTTTCTTTTTGGGTCACACCCAGCGATGCACAGAGGTTATTCCTGGCTTATACACTCAGGAATTACTTATGGAGGTGCTCGGGGGACCCTATGGGATGCTGGGAATCGAACCTGGGTAGGCTGCCCTACCCGCTGTGTTATCACTCTGAACTCTCTTTCATTCATTATGAAGGTGCGAATATTCTTATCAACACTGGGGCTTGCTGGAGTTGCATCGGACAATGAAGGAGAGAGGTGACAAGGGCCCACACGAGTGTGTCCCCAAAATTCTTTGATATTAATGGGCATTTGGAAATAGCCTCCTTGCACTTCCTTAGTGACCACATCCTTGAGATATCACCCGACATCACATCAGGAATTTTACAAAGAAATTTTACAGAGGAATTTTACTGTCCTTGGTCCAACGGGATTCAGGATGACCTTGAAGTTGTGAGTTGGGTTGACCTTCATACACCCTCCAGTAGGAGGGATAACAGTAAGAGGTTTTGCCTGAAAAGTTTTTGTTTTGTTTTGTTTTGTTTTGGGACCACACACTGAAGTGGTCAGGGGTTCCTCGTGACTCTGCACTCAGTAAATATGCCTGAGGGTGCTTGGGGAAACTTGGGATGTCAGGGACGGAACCCCAGTTGGCCACATGCCAGGCAAATGCCCTCCCAACTGTACTATTTCTCCAGTCTCTGCCTGAAGAGCTTTATAAAGTTGCTTTTCGGTTCTTTTCAGTTTAGCTTTCAGAGATGTGCCAGCATTGTTCAGGTACACCTTCAGGGTACACTCTATGTCACGGAGTACAATGCGCGGAATTCTCATGCTTTCAAGTAAGAGAAAATAAATGAAAAACTCATAAACAATAAGGTTATGTTGTGTGGAAGGAAGTGTGATTCTTTCAGGAGAATGAAACATAATCTGGAGTGCAAGTACCTGATGCAGTTTAACTCTGTTGGTGAACAGAAGCAGAGCCGTTTCCACAGCAGCACACGCCACAACTTGCCTCCTTTTTCAACCTCTTCATTCAACTCTAGATTCCCGTGTCAGCCTCTTCAACTTCTCTCCTTAGATACCTGGACTGGATTAATAGCACAGTGCGTAGGGCACTTGCCTTACACGCAGCTAACCCAGGTCTGAATCCTCCGTCCCTCTTGGAGAGTCCAGCAAACTACCAAGAGTATCCTGCCCGCATGGCGGAGCCTGGCAAGCTCCCCGTGGTGAATTCGATATGCCAAACAGAGTAACAACAAGTCTCACAATGGAGACGTTACTGGTGCCCACTCGAGCAAATGGATGTACAACAGGAGGACAGTGCTACAATGCCACAGTGCTACTTAGATGCCTGACGTGGTCAATCCAAAAGCAAACAATGCCCTCAAGCTTGCTCCTTCCCCAGACTCCAACACACTTTCACCTCCACACCCATGTCCCAGCTCACCAAGTCTCAAAATACCCTCCTCCCACCTCTTTCTGGCTTAGATCCACCCCCAAAGCAGTTCAGTTAAGCCTGTCAGAATGTAAGGTCATCCCTGAACAGAACCCACAGTTGCTTCCTGTCACACCATCTCAGAAGTTATCACTGTATCACTGTCATCCTGTTGTTCATTGATTTACTCGAGCTGACACCAGTAATGTCTCCATTTGTCCCAACCCTGAGATTTTAGCAGCCTCTCCTTATTTGACTTTCCCAATGCTGCTGTATCGGAGACTTCAGGGTCAGGGGAATGAGGCCCATTATTGTTTTTGGCATATCCAGTATGTCATAGGTAGCTTGCCAGACTCGGCCATGCAGAAGTTAAGCATCACTATTTCACATTGGAATTCAGTGTCAACCAGGCAACCTCTCGGAAGATATCCCCGACCCCAACTCTAAGGTTATTCATTTCCACCACGATGACCTTACTAGTCCCCAATGCAGCTATCTTCCACTCTCCTTCCCGTTCCCCTTTGCCTCACTCAGCTCTCCGCCGGGAGGCCTTGCTCTACCTTCCTGTCTGACATAATCTCTGCTCCCATTTTTTTTAAATTTTTATCATTATTTTTATTAGTAAAACACCATGAAGTACACTTATAGACTTATAAATTTTTGTGCTTGGGTTTCAGTTATACAATGATCAAGTACTCATCCCTCCACCAGTGCCCATCCTCCCCCACCACGGGTCCTAGCATCCCTTCCACCCCCCCATCCCCCCCCCCCGTCCCACCCTGCCGCTGTGGCAGGGCAT